GAAATGATTTTGGGAGGTTTTGGGGAATGAGTCTCTCATGATGGGGAACAGGTAGTAAAGTATAGAGTATTCTTTCAAAGTTTATATGTGAAGAGGAAAAATATAGGATGATTAGCTTGAGAACATAGGAGGGATAAGGGAGTGTGCTGTGTGTAAAGAGTCAAGGAGGCTTCAGAATGTTTGTAGACAGTAAGGAAGGAGTACAGAGGAAGTGACTGATGATGAAAAAGAGAATAACAGATGGAGCAAAGTCCCAGAGGAAAAAGAAGGGAATAGAATCAAGGTCACAAGTAACCATGACAAAGAGAAAAGGGGTGCTTCATCTTCAGAGACTTCAGCAAAGGATGAAAACATAGGGTAGGGCATAGACAAGTTTCAAGGTGTGTGTGTATGTGTGTGTGTAGCTAATGATAAATGGAAGAGTTTTATGCGTTTAAGAGGACATAATAAAACCTCTCTTCTGTACAGATGTCTTCCCTGCTCCTTCTACTACCAACCTACATACTGTATGCAGACAGAGACCATTAATTTTTTTTGGTATCCTTCATGGTGCTATGCTCCTAAGAGGTATTCAGTAAGTATTTGTGGAATTTGTTAAATGAATGATTTTTGTTTGGAACTATGGCATTTCCATAGATACTGTTACTTCATGTCCAAATAAATATCTTTAAAAGATAACATTACCATTTCAAAACAGTCATTTAATGTTCAACAATGAAGTCAGAAACAGTGGGAGCTGGAAAAATTACTATGTTCTGGCTTCTTTAAGCTTTATCAGCTGCTCTGGCTTTGTGACTGATCTTGGCTCTCCAGCTGACAACCAAGAACCTAAGCAAGTCCTTAAGGTAAGTGGAGCCTCATTCTCTGGAGCTTGTTTTCCTTAAGGAAGACATGTGCCTAGTAACTGAAGGGATAGGTCTGGAATCATTGACTGAATCAAGAATATTTTGTTGTGTCAGGTAAGTTTGAACTTGTCATATAAACTGTGGTTCCCTCTGTTCTTAAAATCCATCTCTCTGCTTGACCGTTAGATTGTGAGCTACTTGAGGGCAGGGATTGCTTTTGCCTTTCTTTGTATCCCCAATGGTTAGCACATTGCTTGGCAGATAGTAGGAGCTTAATATATGCTTGTTAATTTATTTTTAGTGACACATTCTCTGTATAATAACTAATATATCTCAAGTAAGTGATCAATAAATATTGATCTGAGTGAACATTTCTGAAATAAATAATGCCAAGTTAAAATCATTAATAACAAAAATTTGTGTATGCCAAAATAATTTAATGATAGATGTTATATTTCATTTCAAATTTGTATTCCCATAACTCTTGCACAAACACTGGTGGTTAGAATGATGATTCTATGAAACTATTGTTATACCACTTTGTTTGGTTTTTTAGCTTATACCTCCAATATTGGCAATTGATTAATTTTTACTTTCCTTGTGTGGAAAGGGGTTGATAAGCTTCTGCATAAGTTGATAATCGATTCACAAAAAAATATTTCAATAATTATCCATGAAAAGAAAAGGAAGCACTATAGTTCATGAGTGGCTTTCATCATATATGGTTATAACAAATCTTAAACTACTCATTTTATGTGATCACCTTTCAGGAAAGTGAAAGAATTCATAATATAATTAGTTTTCTAGAAAGGTTAATTTTTAGTTTTGTAGACATAAAATGGTGTGGGATCACAGAACATTTCCATATGTTTGATAACATGAGCTAATACATAAAATGAAAAAAATACTGTTTTGATTTTTTAACTGAAAAATACATCATTTTCACTTGTTGATACAATTGTTAGTCCAGCAACTAATATTTCTGGAGGGAGAAAATAGAGTTGTCATTTCTTTTCTTTTCTGTTCTGCATTAACATGAAGAATTACAATTTCATTTAATTCGGTTATTCTCTCTTCATTTCATCCAGTTTCCAAAGATAGCTCTCCCTCTCATTTATACCTATTTAAATAAATAGACAATTGTGTACAGACTTCTTCTGCTTTGTTCCAATGTTATTCTGACATCAGAAATAAGCCTGAATTTAGAATCTCAGTTGTCCTAGATCATTTCTTGTCAAAAAATGAAAAGACCTCTTTATTTCTCCATTAATTATTGTATTTGTTGCTGCTTCTTTAGCACCATTGGCTTTTATTTGGGAAAACTCAAATACTATACTCTAGACTAAAAAGTGGGTATCTAATAACTGTGTTGAATGACTGATACTACATAAATTTACAGATTAGATATAACCAATACAACAAATGCTCCATATCTAAAAAGAGACTTAGTCTTAAACGAATTGAACAGAATCAGCCTAGCTCCCTTGTTCATACACCATGAAAACAATCTGCCATCTGCATATTTTTCAACTACCATAGTCATTGAAAAAATATACTTTAAATGCGAGAGTCAGTGCAATGGATAGTTAGCCAACCACAGGAGATCCATATTTTCAGTCACAAATCTGACAGAACTATAGCTAGAATTCTGAGCACTTTGCCCTTACTATAGTCCCATCTTCTCAACTTTCCTCCTCTCATTCACTCTGAAATTATACTCCTTTGGGATCAGTTCTCAAATGAACCCAGTAGAACTAATCCATAGAAAAACTGCCAATGTTAATATGTCACATGTCATAATGGCTCCACCTGGTGCTCCATATGTAAACTACCATATTGTTCAACTAGGACCATTTGGAGCATTTGCTTGTGTGCAAACATTAAGCTAACTGGATGATTAGCTTTGGCTTTAGAAATGAACAACTTCTGGTAATATTGAAAGGTAAAGGGATTTATGTTTGGACCCACAGGAAAAATAATGTTCAGCAAGGACAGATAAAATGATAATTATGTTATATTCAGTTTTACAAAATTGAATAAATTAACATTTTATCCCTAAAGAACAGAAGTAAGGAATTCTAAATATTGCTCTGAATGATTTATCTAGTGATTTCAATTTATGAAAACATTTATATGTCATAATTGTTTTTTTTAAATAGTGGTAACCCTTATGTCTAAGTTGACAGATATACATAGAAAAAAGGGAAAGGGAAAGAATGAAGGAGAAGGGATACAGAAAAAGAAAGGACTTACAGCCATGGAGCATAGAAAAGGTTTAAGCACAGTCTTGTAAAACACACACACACACACACACGTAAATAATAAAGCTTAGACTCAAAATTTCTATTGCCATGGCATAATCTGCTATCTACAATAGGTATCATACCAAATGGCTCATCAAGGTTTGAGAACCCATAAAGATCTTCCCATCATTTCTCCAGGGCATGAGATGTATATACGTGGGGACCAAGGACTACAACGAGAGGGTAGAGGGACTGATATGAGGTCCATATGTCTTTTCAAAGGATTGCTTAGGGGCTCAGATTTTAAATTTGCACATTTAAATCTGCACAATTTACATGTAATCACAAGATGCATTTTCATCTTTAGTTACAATGGTGGTGTTTACCATAAAATTATCATCTAATTTTGGTTACTCCCTACTGTACCAACATGGTACATAGGTATCCATGTGACAGTAAAGGGTAGTGATCATATAATAACAAATGTACAGTTGAAAGACACTTTAGGAGTTGGTCATTAGTCCAATTTCTTCATTTTACAGATTTGGAAAAGCCAATAACTTTAGGTCAAATGATTTGACCACAGTTTCAGAAGTAGCCAATAGCAAACCAGTATTCCAGTTCTTCTCACTCCATATTCAGTGGTATTTCCATTACATGTATTAAATAGTTACATTAAAAAATTTTATCTCCGAATGACCGTAAGGGTTTTGTGTAAGTATGTATGTGTGTATGACTTCTCATTTATAGTGACCCTTCCATAGATCTGATTTTGGAAATTGTGTCTTTGATGTTAGAAAGAGCAGAGAATTCATATCTGTATACCACTCTAACGCATTTGGGAAATCTGCCATACGGATAATTATAGCTTGAATAGTTAGTATGCTATTGTAGAAAAATGATAAGCAAAATTGTCTGATGGGAGTCAAGATCTTGACTAACACCAAGGGAAACTAATGCATAGGACAAATTTACTAATAGAGTTTGAAGGCATATGTTCACCCCTAAAATATTGCGAAAATTAAAAGAATAAGTTCTTAAATATGAACAACAATTTGGCACACACAAGGTGAACACATTTATATTAGCATTCATTATTAGCCATCAGTAATAATTTGCCTTACATGAATTAACTAGAGGATCACTAAAGGAATGAAAAAGGAAACAAAGCCTAGCATCTTGCCATTTGACTTTCCATTAACATACAGAGAGCTTTAGATTTCAGCTCAAGAATTGGAAGTGGCCCGTACTCAAGATTTCCCTCTTCTGGATTTCAAAAGACAGGTTCATGACACAAAGATAAAACTCATGCACCCGTTTGTAGCTTCAAATGAGTTTTCCCCTAGGGGAGAGGCAGAATGGCCTTATGTTTTATTCTTTATTCTTCCATAAGGCAATAGAATTTTGCTCAATTAAGTTACTCCAGGAACTTTCAGTATTCCTTTTATTATGCAATTTAAAAAAAGGAGGGCTGGAAATAAAGAATCATTCATTGAAAACTGTAAAGGAACTGTTGCTGTTGTTAGTTGGTTTTTGAAACCTGGTTACCTTTCTCTAGCCTAAATGTGATAGCATTTCCTTATAATTACTAAAATGTTCAAATAAGGGATCCTGGTTTGCTCCCAAACAGAAAAGGTTCACAATGTAACTAACAAACACTGTGTGAGGCAATTTTTAAAAAGCAAAATTCTTTCGTGTTAATGATTGGGACGTTCTTACTTTTTAAAAGCAACTTATAATCACAGTAGGAATACATTTTAAAAGCCACCTTGCTGTTCTTAGGGGCCATAGAACCTCTCAGCTTGGATAACAGTGTTTAGATATTCTGCCCCTTGATATAATCTAGTCTTCTAAATCATTCTTTTAAGCAATACGTGATTACTTATAGTTATTGATTTTGCCTTACACTAACCTTGTTAACACTGTTAAAAAAATCATTCGCCTCTTGTAACAAGGTCTTCCTTTTCTCCATGAGGTGGGCAAACTCTTCTTGAAGCTGGTTCAGCTTCTGGTTTGAAAGCTGGAGGTGTTCTTTCTCCACATAGTCTTCTGACAGCAGAATGTTGAGGGCTTCACTCTTCAGTTTGTCAACAGCAGAATTCCATTCCTAAAAGAGACCACTCTCATTTAACTGGTTCTTCTACACAGTCAAACCTTAATTGGCTTTAATAAGGTTAAAATAAAAAAAAAAACATAGAAGGTATGGGCTGTACTTGTTAGTCAACTACCGTGTCTGGTAAAATCCAAGAATTTTATAACATATTAAGTATTTGCCTGATGGCATATGCCATATGCTACATCTATCATTCCCCACCTTTCTACTCAAAGGAGGGAAGTATGGTATAGCATCAGTTCTCTGGCACCAAAATTTGTCTTTACAAATGGAGTGTAGCTGTCTCTATGTCTTGTTTCCTTTTACATTATTGTAGTATTAAGAAAGAGGAAAGAAAAAAGGAGAAGGAAGGAGGAAAGAGAAAAGAATGAGATCTAGGAGGCTTAGCAGAGTGAAGCTATTGCAGAATCAAATAGCTTATACTTGCTTTCCTTCCACCATATCACCTTCCCACATATACAAAAATACATTTATACTCATTTTCAATTTGTATCATGGCCAAGTACCCTTTTTTAATTTAAAGAGAAAAGAGAATAGATATGAATCTTTCTCTCCAAATTCAGTTTCATTGCCAATATAGGAAAATGTTGAAAAATAAGGAAAACATCACATGGCTTGTTGGTGCTTCAGTGTCTGCCAGAATTTGAAACTGAAAATTAAGGTTTGTTGTTCACCACAAAATTAATAGCTATTATTGTACAGTACTCCCTCCTTCCTGGCCTTAAAATCACCTTTCAGTGCTTTCACTCTTAATGAAATATAAACATTCTAGAGAAGAAAAGAGGCAGCTTTCTATTTTCCATCACATTCAGATGCAAAACAAAAAAATAAGAAGAAAAGGGAAAAGGATAACACTTTGAATGTACCAAAGATTTTAACATTCAGTCTATTTGAAGGAAAATCCAAGTTGCTCTCAAAAGCAGAGATTCAGATCTAGTATAATAAAACTATGATTATCTATAAGACAATGGCTCTGATAGTGGGGCTTTGAGGTGGGGAAACTGCATTTTTTTTATTGTGGATGTCTTGGAGTTATATTCCTCTTCTGGATTTATGTCTTGGGCGTGTTTGTTTGTTTACTCACTCTTGAAATGGTTTGTTCTAAGCAACCCTGCATGGCTGGACTAACTGGAAGTGCTGGGGCCTAAGTCTGTAATCCTTGTCAGAGAATCCTGTTCTGTGCTGTTGGCCTGGTCCTGGAGCTGACCCTGTGATCAGCCTTCCCATGTTGAAGTCCTAGCTCCCCTGAGAGACTTCATGTTGCTGGCTTGGTCCAGGGTTAAGTCAAAAATAAGTTGGGCAAAAATAAACCTCAGTGCTCTGGTTCCAAACCAATCTCCTATTCCATAGTTCCTCTTTTGTTCACTTGCCTGTAGATTAATATTGTGATCTTAGACTGGACAGATAACCCACTAAAATGTCGAATTTGATTTCCAATCACTACTCAGTTTTGCATTCTTATTACCATGTGTTTGGAGCAGATGTGGGGGGAGTTATACTATACTGCCATCTTGGTTCAGCTTCATATCATAGACTATGTTGCTGAATTCAGTTGATGACTAGATGTAGAAAACTAAGGGAGAATACAAGAGGAATACAATATGACTTCTACCCTGCACACTCAAGGAGAACTGGGGCTATACTCTTCTTCATGTCTTCTCTAGTAATTTGCATACACACACACACACACACACATACACACACCCCACTTTGGCTTGGTCACAAAGCAGTGGGATTTTCACTTTGGAAACAGAATGCTCTGGCTCTCCCTCTCTGAGTCAGGCCTGCTATATATCCCTTTCATGGTTCTAGGATACCCTGAAGAGTGGAGTTTTTTTTCTCTAGTACCACTGGGCTTAAGTCGTATCAGTTGTGCTACTCCCTGTTAATTGTAAAGGAGCCAGTGACCAAGGTCCTGGTTTCATTTAATTATTTAACATAAATTTTCTTTTTTATTTTATTTTTTAAATAAGGGAATAAAACAAGTATTTCTATAATATAGTACAATAAAAAAGATGATTGCACATGAAACTGCAAACCTATTATGTATAACTTGCTATGCCTTTTAAATATATAATAGTTATCATGTATATTACTTTTTTCCCTTTTTTTCCTCCCCCCTCACCTTACAACAAGATATTTACTTCCAAGGTATGACAAAAGCAAATTACAAACATCTCTGTCAGTACCTTCAGGCCATACTTTCCCCTATGCTGACTCAGTCCTAGGGATAGTAGTCTCAGAGATAGTAGATTCAAAACTTAACTCGGTTCCTAGAGAGCATGAGTCCCACCAAGTTTACGTCTATATGTGGCATGTCTGCCAGATGAATCCTAGTCTCAGTTTCTTCTAGCCTAGGTCTAGAAGACCACTTTTGCTTCTCAGAACACTAATGCTGGGCTTGCTACAATGCGCAGCTTTGAATCGTTTCAAGCTCTGGAATTCTGGGCTTCTGGTAACCCCTTCGTGACAACCTTTAGAACTTACTAAGTTTTGAGACTCTACTCCCTCCACCCAGAATAGAAAAGAACAAATGAAAAGGTCCATGACTAATGTCCTGTTTCTTGGAGGGTGGGGGGCACATACTTTAGAGGGGAGAAGGCCATAAGGTGTCTCTCCTTATGGCATGGTTTCTGACCAGATGTCATGAGTGTAGGAGTCACTGAAGGAAGCAAATGAAGAGAACGAGGTAAAAAAGGAAGTAGATGAAGCTGATGGGCCCTTTTGAATCCTACTGGAGCAAATCAAAGAGTCTTCTCTTCAATGTATAATTAGGCAACTGGTCAGTTATAGAATGTCTACTCATCTCACAGTCTCTCCAAGGCACTTCTCTTACATGTCATCTCAATTCTCCTGTAAGTATGCTCCCTAGTGACCTCCAAGTGGAAAGACTGCAGTAGCCAAGCAAGATGAAAGAGTCTGTATAGTCACTAGACTTGCACTATACTGGGATGAAGGCAGATCTGTTTAACATGTCAGGGGGGCAATATTTTCAGGAAATTATTTTTTAGGAGAGCATTACAGAAAATTTCCGACAGTTCTCTATACCAATTTGACAGTATATTTCCCTAGGTATTTTTATGTGGAAAGCTTAAAAAATAATAATAAAGCCTTCAAGAGACACCTGAGTTTAATATGTCCTTAAAGTAGGAAAAAATAATTGTCACTGTGATCAAGGCCACAAAAACCCAAAAGAGAAAAATCTTAGTCCCTTTTTCCTAAACTGCTCCCTGCCTGCTAAGTGTTAAATCTCTGAAAGAGTTTCAGTCACTTAGCAATAAAATATTTCTCATACGTGTCGCCACCAGAAACAACTCAAAGCCTGCCATTACCTTGACTTTTCAATTCGACAGAGATACGTGAATATCTCTGACCCGTTAAAGACACACGGGCACTCTATGTACTTGTACTCAGTGGGTCTCCACAGGTCACGCTATTATTCTCATTCTTGCCTCACAGGAGTGGCCCTTTTTAACTGTGCCTTTCAGTGTTCCATTTACTGGGGAAATTGAGCTTCTCCTGGATCCCTTGATTGAAAGGGTATTTTTAAGAGGATTAGTGCTGATAGACAAGAAAGCAAAAATGATTTTCTTAAGGGGGAAAAGTCCTAGGTTTCCTTGCCAAATGAAACTTTGCCTTGACAGAAAAAGAATGCCTAACTTTCCCTCATTCCTTCTTTTCTTTCTTTTTTTCCAACCCTCTCTCTTTTCTTCCTTCTTTCCTTCCTTCCTTCCCTTCTTCCCTCCCTTCTTTCTTTCTTCCTTTTTATTTCCTCTCTCCCTTCTCTCTCTCTTTATCTTCTCTTCTCTCCTCTCTTCTCCTCTCCTCTCGTCTCTTCTCTCTCCCTCTCTCTCTCTCTCTTTCTCTCTCTCTCTCCCTCTCTCTCCCTTTCTCTCTCTGTCTCTCTCTCTATCTCTCTGTCTCTGTCTCTCTCTCCCTTTCTTTTTCTTTCTTCTGTGTGCCAGGCACTGTGCTAAGAACTTTACAAATATTATCTCATAACTTTGAACCAGGCAGCTTTGTTGATTTACCATCATGTGAAAAATGAAAATTTCCATGTGAAACTTGACTTCAGAATCTGAAAACAGGGTGGGTTTTTTCCTTACCACACACAAAGAATGGTAATAGGGGACAGCAGAAATAATTCTTGATTCGGAGTTAGAAGACTTGGGTTCAAATCACAGCTATGTCACTTAACACCAAATGACCTTGGGTAAGTAGTAGTAGTAGTAGTAGTAGTAGTAGTAGTAGTAGTCATCGTCATAGGAGTAGGAGTAAGAGTAGTAGGAGAAGAAGAAGAAGAAGAAGAAGAAGAAGAAGAAGAAGAAGAAGAAG